TGTCTTGGAGGGACCCCCCCCCCCCACCAAAAAAAAAACAAAACAAAACAAAACAAAACGTACCGGTATATAATATAGGCCTATATAGGTCTAGGCCTAATACAGAATAAGCAACAAAAAATAACAGTTTGTTTAATCCAAAATTGGATTCAAAACAGAGATTTATAAACACAAAAACAATAGAAAAGATGTGTAGTAAAAAAAACACCAAATTTTAAAAATATGATTATACTATATATACATACATACTTTCAGTACTATTGTATTTGCAGAGCTTACAAATATGGCGTTCCGGAAAAGCTCTGAGTTTTCAATCGAAAGTTGTTAAAACCTGGCGCTGAATACTACTTGGTAGTATTTGTATAGTTATTGTATAAATATTGATTATTAACTGCAAACACAATTCTGTTACCCTATGTAATAATTAAGAAAAAAATAAACATTAGGCCTATATAAACAAAACACGTTCCAAATGCGTTATCATTGCATCCACACTTAACCAAAACTAAATTCCTACAGCACTATAAATACTTTTAATTTAATGTTTGAAGCTTACTTCATTGTGTTCTTGACCTATAGTAGTATGAACATATTATTATGTGAAAGTCCGTCGTTGGCATTGAAAGATAATTTTAATATTTCCTCCAAAGTAGTATGGTTCCGCTATGGCCCAGATTGTGTTAGTGGGCTGTATTGTCGCATAGGCCTATTTCCTAACATATAGGTCCAGACAGGTAAATGTTATATTATCTATTGTTTAGTACTATGCATTTATTATAATACCAATTTTTATATTAACAAGTTCTATATTTCATATCTTTTACTGTTTTTATATTATTATTATTATTATTATTATTATTATTATTATGCCATGTATTGCTGGTGAAAAATAATTTATATTTATTCAATACAACAAAATAATGTTTAGTAATTATGACAAAATGTTGATGAGAACCATTGATTCATTGATTGATTACATTGGCTTGCATATATCCTATATGTTGATAAAATAAAAAATATATATACGGGAAAACCCCTAGAATTTTAGAATGAAAGATATGCAAGCCAATATGATTGTAACTGAATGTAAATTATTGAAAATGTATGCGTATGTGGATAATAAGCTAGTGTCGTCACGACAAAAGTTAGAGTTAGACCCCGTTTCATAAATCCGATACAATAACATTTAAGAAGTACCGTAGTGTTTGAAATGTATGGATATTCGATTTATTTAGTGCTGAATAAAAAAAGTGTAATGAGTCAAATATTCGTCACCTCACACCCCCCCCCCTTTTTTTTTTACAAAATTTATAACCATTTTGGTTAAGAGTCATCACTGCTCAATATCAATTAAATCTTATGGTATACAGTAAATATTAATACATACTATATTAAAAGGGATAATATTTATTATGATAATGATTTAATGCAACAGCTTGATTTAATATTATTATTTAGTTTTCTACAAAATATACACAGTATTAAAAATAAATCAAGAGGGGAGTTGAGTTCCAGAAATAAATTGAATAGTATTTTCATTGCCACACATGTTCTGGGGTTCAAAGCCATGGTACATTGAAGTTAAAATTTAGACTTTAAATTTTTTTTTTCTCTCTTTCACTTGACATTTACATAGACAGCTGGCATAATTTTATTGTCATCATTCCACTGTAAGTCTTCATACGTCTTTTTATCTGCCATCGGCTCACCTTTGTACGCCGTATAAGCCTGAAAAAATAAGAATATAAGAAAAATAATGTTTAATATCTATGGTTGTCGTGAAAGTGGTGCATCCAGTGTTCAACTCGCAAGAGTTAATACAATCGTTTTGTAATCCAAGGTGCTCAAGCTAGTTCTAGGTGGCCGGTTTTGGCGTACATCAAGTAAACTAAGAAGTTAATCATTATAAACTAGGCCTACTTATTTATTAAAATGACACATATTCTTTTACATTTAAAAGCAAACGAGCTTAGACAGGTTGCACTTATATTCCAATTTTCTATGTCAACTCTTATGTACTGGTCATATTCTATTATAGCTAATAGTATGAATCAAGAATCAGGAATCGAACAAGTGAACAATAAAATTTGTTTTGCCAGTTGCTCACTTAAATAAAGACATTATAACAATAATTTATGGTTAAGTTAAACACAATATTTAAATATTAAAGCATTAAAACTAAAAGGTATGACAAATTAACTAACATTGTTTTGACGTTTTTTTTACATAATAAATGCCACGTTTTCTTACCGATGAATGTTTTTCATCTCTTGAAGTTGCTTCGGATACCTTAGAGATAAAGTATATATTTTTCTTTATTTAGATTAACTTATTTTGGAATGAAACACATAAAAAACAAAACAAATCCTAAAAATGTATCACAAATAAAATCACGATAAACAAAACAACAAACCAATCAGCAACCATTACATAGCTTTAATTACTTAACAATCGTTGAAATAGGAGACCCTTCTATTTGTTTACAGCTTCCCGTACACAATATAATCAGCTCACGATTTAAGGATAATCCTTTCCATATTGTGGAAATAATTAAAATAATGAACCAATAAATATTTTTTCACCAAGTTTATAACATTATTAATATCAGTCTATCAAAAAGCAATTGAATGTTTTTTTTATTTTTTTATTTCTATGGGTTTTCTGATTATATCACAGAGTAATCATCTTACCGTCGGTAGTTCGTAATCTCTGGATGATGCTTCAATTACCTTTAAGATAAATGACGTATTAGTAAGATATAGAAGTAAATTTAACTGATTTGTTTATCATAACAGTATTTGAGCGTTTGGCGTAGAGGTAATGCTGCTGGTTAAGAGACATGATGATATCTTAGCAGTACTATGGCCAAAGGGTCACAGTCACTTTGAATTTTCTACATTTCAATTTTCTCTAAAACTACTATTATAGCGTAATGGATTGTCATTAGGAATGATAATTGATTTGGTCATCACGTTTTATTACATTTAATTGTTCTTACTGTCGGCTGTTCATAATTTCAGCATGCTGCTTTAGTTACCTGTATAAGATCAAATCAAATCCAGTCCTTCCATTTGTATTGCGCCATTCCAACAATCGTTGCTCGTTTCCGCAGTGGACAAGATGTTGCTCTTTTCAACGTTCTCCTCCCCTGAGGGTCGCTTCGTGTCCACTGCAGCCGGTAAACCGGCGCACCTTTCATCTGTCCACGACAGGAGCCGAGTGGACCAGTACACCGGGGTACCCCCCTACTCGTCTCAGATGTACTGGGTTATTTAAAGTGCACATGAGCATTCGTGTACACTGAGCCTATGGTTTAAGACTTGTTCCACCACCAGAACTAGGAGCGAGGTGGCCGCGAACCCATGCCGGTATTGTTGGCTATGGTTACGGTGCCCCTGCCTTAACCGCTCGGCCAGATAAGATAAATTATGTAAATCAATAAGATAACTATTTAGATAAGAATCTTTAAGCGTTAATTATAAAATTATATTTCTAGATATTGTCATTAGGAATGATAATTGATTTGGTCATCACATTTTATTACATTTAATCGTTCTTACTGTCGGCTGTTCATAATTTCAGCATGCTGCTTCAGTTACCGTATAAGATGAAATCAAATCCAGTCCTTCCATTTGTATTGCGCCATTCCAACAATCGTTGCTCGTTTCCGCAGTGGACAAGATGTTGCTCTTTTCAACGTTCTCCTCCCCTGAGGGTCGCTTCGTGTCCTCTGCAGCCGGTAAACCGGCGCACCTTTCATCTGTCCACGACAGGAGCCGAGTGGACCAGTACACCGGGGTACCCCCCTACTCGTCTCAGATGTACTGGGTTATTTAAAGTGCACATGAGCATTCGTGTACACTGAGCCTATGGTTTAAGACTTGTTTCACCACCAGAACTAGGAGCGAGTGGCCGCGAACCCATGCCGATCAGGAACCCATGCCAATCAGGAATCGAACAAGTGAACAATAAAATTTGTTTTGCCAGTTGCTCACTTAAATAAAGACATTATAACAATAATTTATGGTTAAGTTAAACACAATATTTAAATATTAAAGCATTAAAACTAAAAGGTATGACAAATTAACTAACATTGTTTTGACGTTTTTTTTACATAATAAATGCCACGTTTTCTTACCGATGAATGTTTTTCATCTCTTGAAGTTGCTTCGGATACCTTAGAGATAAAGTATATATTTTTCTTTATTTAGATTAACTTATTTTGGAATGAAACACATAAACCCATGCCGGTATTGTTGGCTATGGTTACGGTGCCCCTGCCTTAACCGCTCGGCCAGATAAGATAAATTATGTAAATCAATAAGATAAATATTTAGATAAGAATCTTTAAGCGTTAATTATAAAATTATATTTCTAGATACATATATGCTTTCAAGTTGTTTTGTATTGCGAAAATGATCATGTCAGAAGGTAGTTATCATTTTGTATTCAGTCACAAATATAAATGCTGTATCAGCAGATCAACTATCGATAGCTCCTTTACAGAGTTAAGGCCAAGCAATACGCGGTGACGGTTTCCCTTCCTTTCATAGGAGGTTTATAACGACACAGTGTCCGAGCTATGAATAATAATAATAATAATAATAATAATAATAATAATAATAATAATAATAATAATAATAATTATTATTATATAATTATAATAGCGCCCAATCCGCCTTAACGATAGAGTTCACTCACAGCGCTTAATTCACTATAAAGACTCCTTTGAAAGCCAATAAGTTAACACAAGGTTCACGAGAAACTTGGTTGGTTTCTCATCAGTGCCTGTCTGTACATCTGAGTAAACCATTGGCGGAGTTAGGAGGGGGGGGGGGACCTGCCCCGTCCCCACCCCTTTTTGGAAAAATTTCGCGGGGGCATGACATCGGACCCCCTGGATAGTGTTATCTCAATCGGCCCCACTTTCGGTCCCGCCTTTCCGGTTTCCGACACATCTATGGATCCGCCCCTGTAAACTATTGATAATTTATGTACAGTGCAAAGGTCCACCAATTTGGAACACTGCTCAATAATATATATGAGCAAGTAAATATTTAATTAATTTTATGTTTTAGAGAATTCAGCATTTATGACAGTATTCCTTTATCCTTCTTATTACGCCTAGTCCTTCGTAATGTCTGGATGGTGCTTTGGTTATATTTAAAGTAAATTATATTATCAATTAAACAGTTAATTAAATTTAAAACAAACGTTTGAGAATTTTTTTCGTCTTTTAGTACATTTTATCATTCTAAAAATACTATTTGTAAACACACTATCTCATCGTAATTCATTGGAATGCAAACAACAACGTTATCATTAGCAAAACATTAGTACATTTATAACAAAGAATGTCAAGACTGTTAATCCTTATGTCTTTAAAAACTATTTTATATTGCGTAAGTAGTCATGTTTGGAGGCAAAGTATTACATACATCATACTATAAAAATAATAAATATTATGAAAATTAACAGAATAAACTATTGATGTTCATGATGTATAATATACATCATCATCATCAGTTTATTCTGTTAATTTGCATAATATTTATTATTTTTCTAGTATGTAGCAAAGGTCCACCAATATGGAGCACTGCTCAATCCTCACAAAATCGACTTTGCCCTCGAGAAGGGTAATATTCCTATCCTGTTGGTATCTCACCTGTGCCTTTGAATTTCTCATCTTTCCGAGGACAAAAAATATAGATAAAGACAAAAGGATTCCGAAGAAGAAACCTAAAAACGTCATTCCAACAAGAAGACCAGCATCTGAACCTGAACATTGCAGTGGTACTTTGGTAAGCAATAAAATGATATTGACATGGCATTGTATGAATACAGTAGATTACAAATATTTATGTGATAGTCAAACATTATATAAATTTACAAAAACATTTTTAAAGTATTTGAAAATTTAGTAGGCCGAAATATATATATATATTTATATTTATATAGCGCATATTGCACATTGCCCCTATCCGCTTTACAGAGAAATAATATAGGCCAACTGAGAAATAGCAAATAACAATAAAATAATAACAATAAAAATAATCATAATAACAATGACAAACAAATGTTAGTTACCATAATAATGAAATTATCGTACACAACAACTCTCATAGGTTTGCTAAAATACCGGTAGTGAACGTAGGTTTCTAAATAATAATTTTACTTTTATTTCACTCGTTTGATTGATCAATTGGACAACAAGCCAACCGGCCGAATTATTTAAAGACAAAACGACCTAATTATTCGGAGACCTTCACCAGTTGAATGAATAATGAAAATACGTACCCGTGGCTGCATTACTTGATACGGATGTTGATGATGGGACTAATGCAAATGAAACAATTTTATTAGGAACAAAACTGAATATAGTGATGTACAAAATTTATTTTCTATTCATTTGAAAATAATCGTAACAAATATGAATAAAGGAATACGTACCTATGGTGAAAGAACTGGCTATGGATGTTGATGGAGCTAATGAAAAAGAAATTAATGTTTCCAAATTGAAAACAAGATACTACATATTGAAAGAGAAACATTAATAATAAATAATGTAAGATAGTTTTTTTGATAGTATTCAATTTTATTCTATAATATTGTATTGTACTTTTTTTAATTTAATATTCTCAGAATTTTACTTACAAGTGAGACTGAACAATGACAGTGTTCCTTTATTACTAAGCTTTCCTTCACTCCCATTGTAAGCTGCATTCTCTGCTTGACACTGGTAGTCTCCTTCATCCATTTCATTGACTCCGCTGATCTCTAATATTGTATCTGACTGTGGATACTTCTCAATATCAAACACATCAAGTACGCCGCAATCTTTGATCCACGTGTTGGTGATAGGTGTTCGATCACCATTGGGCAAAGGGCATGTAAATGTCGTAGTTTTGTTTCTATTGACATATTTCTCTTTCGGTGCCAATATTGGTGTCTCAAGGTCTGTAATGACAGTTCCAATTATATATATATACATATGTTATACCTTCCAGAGTTGTAGTTTAGTTTTTCTGGGAGCTTTCGATGACATCTCGTCATATATTCTATTAAAATGTCGGCCAATCATATTATACTTTATATATAAAAGCCTATATATATAATATTGGTCCACGTGTGTTCGAATAATGAAACAGAAATAATGATGTAAAAACACTGAGTTATATAAATGAATTCCAGTAGATCTTGGTACCTAGGTTTATGCTAATTATTCCGAAAAAAAATATCATTGTATTACAATACACAATAACATTAAAATGTGAAAACAGTACTCACAGTATACTGTTAAATTTGAGAAACCTTCTGCAGCGTCAGAGTTAGGTGTTGCAATTACTCTACAGAGGTAGTAGCCTGAATCCTCTACTTCAACTCTAGATATAATAAGACTTCCATTATCACTTAAGCCGTATCTACCATTTGGTTGTGGGTTTCCACTTATATTAGTTACAATAGGATCCCCTTGTTTAACACCATCTGCGTCACTTTTGAACCAAACCAAGAAATCCAAATCTTCTCCTGGTTTAAGTGTGAATGTATACGTCATCAATGCATTTTCACCCAATTTTGCTCTAGCAGGATCTACTGTCACGGATCTAGACTGAGCAAAGACACCTGGAATTAAGCAAACTTTTGAATCAAATCAAATGATATTACATATGAATGTTAACAGAAAATGTAATACTATGTATCAGTCAAATATATCTGGACTTGTACCTATCGTAAAATTGATATGACATTTCACACCTTTATCTTACTAATCTATGGACATAGTTTTATGTAAGTTGGAAATAATAATGCAAGTTTATCTTTAATAATCATCTATTAATTCGTTTAGATATATTTTTGTTAAGGTAGGTAACTGCTGTTTGTAGTGTGTCGTTCGATCAATTGAACTCCATCACTTATGAGCGCTAGCTGAAAGACGTGACACCGTCTGCTGATTGACGGTGACAGTTTGGAACGAATCGTCATTAAAAAACGATCTGCGCGTGTGTCTTTAGTTGCGTTCTCCATAGAATTTATTTATTCATTTACTTTGAAATGTTAATATTTGGGCACAGTGAGTGTCCGGCTTTACTTACAAAGACAGAAATTTCATAATTACCAAAAATGAATACCAAAGTTATGACGCAGACAAAGTGTACTATGTGGTAATTCGTATACAATGCTTTCCACTAAATATCATAGATAAGCATTGTCGGTGTAAAACATTGCACAAAAACGCTCTCTATGTTTATCGTCAAGGATAAAAAAAATTACGTATTTTCACATATTTGTAGACTCTAAAATCGATTAAATAACCCTTTGAAACCCCTAAATTGTCAAAGCGACGTTCGACTACGACCACTTTGATGATCTTGTCGGGGAAATTTTCCCCTTCGTCGGGGCATCGGCCCCAGCTCTCCCCCCCCCGGTCGGGGACCCACATCCAATAGACCTTTCAGGGGTGCCTATCAAACTTAACAAATGACCAATTCAAGGAATCAGGAATACGCGCGTGTCCTTCAAGCAATGTGTTGTCCAGAAACACACGTGCTTACGTACATTTACGCTATGGATTTGTGGGCCTAAAGAAACAATATCCAAGGGCCGGGGGCTTAGAAAATGCCATTAATTCATTACGTCATCTTGTCATCTCAGATTGCTTTTAATCGCTATGTCAATAGCTCCAAGTCTTTAAAACTCTCTCATTTTGTATATGTTATCTAATGAAGTTTTAAGTATACAAATTACTGTAAGCAACTGAAGCACCGAATTGACTTTTGTATGTTTCTAAAATTGAAATTGTAAGCATAAATAGGCCTACTAAATTATATATTTTTTAACTCTTTTTTACTTTGCCCGGTCTGCAGGGATCTAACAGAGACACAAAAATCATATTTACCGAAGTGTAAAAACAAGTTGATCAGGCAGACCAAGTAAATTTTCCGATGGTTCCCACAGTGTTTTGCTTCAGGGTTATACAGAGTCATAATTAAAGAAACAATGGCGCGCCTACACTATCAGCAATCAGCAGACCAATACGTTTACCTCATTGCTGCACTATAGTTTTACAGTTGATAGCCTGAAATAAAAATGTTCTGGCACAAAATGAGTTTAACGCCCTCTTAACTCTTTTCCTGTTATAGCACGACCGATACAAACAAAAAATATATATTGCATTGACTGTCATGGCGACGAGATTCTATATATTTTTTTTTACTATGCATCACATTTTGAAAGCCCAATATAAATAGGACTTCTGCTTTTGGTTCTTTTGAGTAGGCCTACTGATGAATACAGCATCCCTTCATACTTCAAGTATTTCGACAGTCACACAGAAACTGGAAGTCTCATGGATCATAATAGCAAATAAGTAGCCAGTAACTTTATAATATAGTGTTCAAGTATTAATGTTTTTTTTAAACCTTTACACATTAAGACATATTCCAACCTATGATTAGTCGGATTATATCACTCCATACTATAGTCATAGCTTAGGAATGTTTTCCTTAAAAAAATTGCTAGAATGAATAATATTTTAGTTCCTGCTTTAGCGTGTTTTGTATGCAGTTATAGTATACTTTTGGCTGGAATTAAATAAACACTTATATACTAAGGTTTTTCCGGTTTATAAACCTTCATTACATGTCACTAACTAGCTTCCAGGATGTCGAAACACAATCGATCGGACCAGTTACCAAAAGCTTCACACATGTAATTCACCCATCTATAATTAACTCTCCCCCACTTATTAACCTAAATCCATGTGATGTTTACTCTTATCTCTAGAAAGCTTGGTCTGAAGATTGCTAAATTCATTATGAACTGCATGGAGTGCGATTTGAGGACAAACTCACTGGTACAAATACTTGGTATTAAATTGGACAATATTCAAGCATGTTATTCTTGTGTGATTTGAATTGTTTTATTAGTAAACTGGTAAAAAAGAGGTTAAATTTATGAGAACATTGCTAATACGTTGACGAAAAAAAAAAAGACTATTGTTAAAATGATCGATTAATTTATTGTAAAGTATATATCATTAATGTATGATACATTATGACTATTTAATGTTTGCCTATACCAACTCCTCTTGCAGCTAAATTCATATTTTTTAAAGGTGCAATGGCGTCATAATCAAACTCATAACTTCAAAAAGATCGCTAGGAGTAATCGAAGTATCACAGGTAAAGCCTGCGTTCCACAAAATCGCTACACGCCATCGCCGACTCATTTGAGGACGCTGATTGGTCAGTTGAATCAGGGAGCGTTCCAATTGTGTCGGGGACAGATACGCAGAGCAAGAATTGCAGCGAAATGCTGTAGTGACTGTGTAGTGATTCTATGTAAACAAGGCTTTAATGATTTTTATTCTATAAACCACTTAATCTCTCTCGCTTCATACAGTTTGAAGACACATAGGCCTACATATAGTGGAGCGAACTATCTATTCTTAGCTCAAGTTTAAGTTCAAGTTCACGTTTCTCGTTACTGTCAAATAAAATGTTACATGATATTCTTTTTCCAAGGTTCAACATAAAAATAAACTTACAAATAAAAAATAGTTAAAACGTGTTAAAATACAGGATACAGTTGATTAGTTAAAATAAAAACATATGATTATGTACAGTACATAAACATAGGCCTACATACTTATAATATTATAAACTTGTTGATTGTAACTACGTAATAGCTTTATGATATGTTTATTGATACATTTTCAAATATTGATTTTTGCTTTAGCTCAAAGAACATTAATATTATGGGATAATTTTAAAACTGATTTTCTCCTTGCAGTTTTTAAAGTTTATCTTAAGCGTAGGGCAAAGAAAATCTAATGCCTAAAAAAATCTAAGATTATTAGGAAGGAAAACTGTTTATACAAAGCTGCCAAACGTTCTCACAATCCCAACAAATGGCTTTTTATATAAAAAATATGTAGGTATTACCTTAAGCACTTATTAAGCGATCTTAACCACAAGTATGTCTCTGAGAGTGAAAAATGCATCGATCATGGACAAACTTTTTGGTCATTTGTACGCAAATCCAGGCCAAACTGGTTGCAAATTGTTTTAAATGTAACGGCACCTATACTGATTGTCCGAATTTTATTGCTTGCTGTTTTAATCACTTCTTTTCTTCCAATTTTACTTCCGATCCTATTTTAAATTAAAATGAATTTACTGATGAGTGCAACAATTACATAATCACGTGGGTCTTCTTCCTCTTTCTGAAATTCGCACTAAACAGTATGAAGTGCTTAAGC